TAAAAGTATGATATATAACAATATATCATAAACTCCCCGTTATAGGTAGTAGGTAAAATTATTAAATCTATAAAATTATAATATATAACAATGTATCATATGCTCTCCGTCATAAGAAGTAGATACATTAATTAAATCTATAGAAGTATAATATATACCAATGTATCATATACTCCCCATTATAGGGAGTAGGTACAATTATTAAATCTATAAAAGTATAATATATAACAATGTATCATATACTCCCCATTATAGGGAGTAGGTACAATTATTAAATCTATAAAAGTATAATATATAACAATGTATCATATACTCCCCATTATAGAGAGTAGATACAATTATTAAATCTATAAAAGTATAATATATAACAATGTATCATATACTCTCCCTTATAAGGAGTAGATACAATAATTAAATCTATAAAAGTATAATATATAACAATGTATCATATACTCCCTATTATAGGGAGTAGATACGATTATTAAATGAATGAGTGAATTAACTTTTCTAATTCCCTATTTAAGACCGGACTTTATGCGACTACCTTTTGAAGGCCTTCCGTAAGCAGCACTCTTTGTTGTTCTTCATTGCCCGAAACAATAAGATGCTAGCGATTGGGTTTCCTAGATTATCAAAAGCAATAAAGGTTTATACAAGATTTTTAAAGTTATCTTACTTTTTTTTCGTCCATCAAAAGAAAATGATTCTGAACTCCAATGCAGACATTCTTGGCCAAAAACAATTGTTATAGGTCGGAATGTAATAGGTTCGTAGTCAAGATTTTTACATTGGTCTTGGACATTCTGTCCAAAAGTGATAACAGTGAGTTCCAGCTTAACGAAAATTTTATTCTGCTGAAGAATTTTGTATAGAGTCATTCATAGTTTTGTTTCTAAGCCCTCAGGAGGTTGATTTATGCCGAGGTATGCCTCAACAAAATGTGAAATGTTAGTGGACTAGCCTTACTTGAAATTCCTTTTTGCCCGGTGACTCGAAGGAACTCGTGGCAATGTGGAGTAGTTGGTAACGTGTCGATATCATAGGCAACATTAAAACAACCCAGGTTTGAGTCCAAACATAAATCCACCTTTTGGAATGCAGACCCATGTGAAATTGAATGGAAACGTCAGTTCTACTCATATCATTGTGGGAAAATTTCACGACCAGTTTTTCAACGCCTTAGATGAAATAGGGTCAACACACTTCTTATTCAAGATCCACTCGTGGTTTCGAATGCCCACTTGGAAATGAAAATCCCTGAGCTCTGTTTTTTCAGGTGGGTAAATTCGGTCAAATTTCCTTTTTAATCCGCTCCAGAAGCCTCTTTGCCCACGTTTAAGAGATTTTCACACAGTCTGCCATAGAGTTGACTGTACTACTACGCCATTGCGATTCCGTCTTTTCTTCTCTTTCAACACTTGAAATGCCTTTGAGCCTGCTTGTAGAATAAATCAGTCTCTTTCCACTCTGGAATTGTAAAAAAAAGAAAAAGACTCGAGGAGGCTCTAGAAGTTACGGGCTATTTTGACTATGGTTCATACCTTGTGAAAATCCCAATTGACTGGAGGGTCGTTTTAGTCTGCTGAGGAGTACAAACAAGAGCAGTGCGTCCTTGAATGTCGCCAGTATACTGTTTAAAATATGATTTTATAGTAAGTGTTAAATAAATTAGGTCGAATGAATGAATGTAAAACGAGATCTATGCATTAGCAAAAGAGCATAATGATTAAAATGATTCACCACAAGGCCGATACTAAAGGCCCAAGGCTCTTAAAAACCTACTTCTCTTAATTTGCATAGTATGTGTTGACATGCCTGCCTAATAGAGGTCTAAGGCACAATTGGATTTTAGTTAACGCCAAATTAAATGCAACTTCTTCAAGAGATTATATATATATATATATATATTTAACTTAGGCTAGACTAAGTAACAAGAGCGTATAATGACCGCTCGCGTGCACTGAAAGTCGGTCTTGTGTAGGCGCGAATGTAAGGCGCAAGAGTTGCCTTCTTTTCGTTACTCAACATAACTTGTCAATTTGCTTAAGGAGCGACACAAAGTCAAGATATGTCAGGAAAGAAGAAACAATCAGCTACAGCAATATGCCGGATATGACTCTCATAGGCATGCAAGTTTAAGGATAGTGAGTATAATGATAATATATAATAGATTTGAAAGATACTTCTTTTTATTTCGCTCTTTACCCTTGGTTTTGTTACTTTACTTTTCTGCCTCTGGCATTTTCCATGCGAAATCTTCAAATATAAGTGAGCGTATGAGAAGTCTACGCATTTAGTTTTCTCTGAAATTGTCTAGGAACTAGGTTGAAAAATGTATCACGCCTTTTTGTAACTATGTTCTTCAAAGCTATTAAATATCAGTCTTGCTCTAAATTAAATTTCTCAAAGTCACTTTCTTTGTCGATATTAGGGCAAAGAGAGGCATCATTTAAGGTGGATCGTTAACATTGCTTGTCTTTCTTGAAATAATTTAATTATTTATATGGTCCAAGCAACGGGAAAGTAGTATATTATATTGAATAGATCAAATTTAACACAAACGTAAACATTTATATGGATATGATTGACTATGTATTGCCATTTACAGGACCATTTATGATTTAAAACTGTACATTTCTCATCATACGCCACAGCCTAGGTTACATATATGAGATAAACTGGTAGTCTCGAAACCCTACTTAGAAACGAAAACTAGAATATATAGACGAATTCGGCCAGTCGTGCCAATTCCAAAGGTAACTTATATTTTTCTCCATTCTGCCTCGATTTGAGTGTCTCTTATTTGTCAAATATAATAAGCAAACTTTTTTGAGTGTTTTAACCAACACTTTAACGTCTTTATCAAAAATAATTACATTTTACAGGATCCTCCCAAGTACCGTCTAGTTACTTATAAACATATATGCACATGTGTGAAATATCTCGAAATTTGATGCCTTTTTCGAGTAAAAGGGATTAAAAGTGATACTTCTGGGATTTTCAGACTGATATCTTTCATAGGTTCAGGTGAAAAATTCCTTAGCTTTCGCCAATCCCTGGACAGACAACATATAAGTTCAAATCATCACTTTCATTTGAAGATATGAAGACCAAGATATTGTGGCCTCTGGTATGGCCGCTACTACTGTGTTACTCTGTGTTGCGATTCAGTTGGTCAGTTAAGATATGAAACTTAAAGGTACGTGTAAGAAATGAAGCTGGACATTCGCATAGCTTGGTCTTGCTAACAGGGCTACTTAAAAAGAAGTAAGTAGTAGATTATTATTTCATCTTTTGGTTAAAGATTTTCGAGTAAACAACAGATTAGTTGGTAGATTATCAAGGGTCTCTTTAGAAATTGTGATCGGTATCATAAGTGTAGAGGGTCAGGCCAGCCGTAAAATCACATTTATTCAAAGTTCCGTCCTGAAGCAATTAAAATAATCAAATCAAAGATATAATGACGTATATAAGTGGGTTGATCACGTTGTCACAACTTGGTCTTGTTGTCAAGGCGGCTTAGTAGAACGTACCTAGTCAGAAGTCGTCTGCCATAGTAGTTGTCATGACTCCCAGCATCAATCAGTCGACTTGGTACATTCCCGGACGTTTCGCCGGCATCGTAGTCGGCATCATCACTGAGTGCTGCCATTCTCCGCACCAAGCTACGAACTTGCTGGGAATCATGACAACTACGATCGCAGACGACTTCGGACTAGGTGCGTTCCACTAAGTCCCCCTGACAACAAAACCAAGTTGCAACAACGAAGCTAACCCATTTCCATCACTATCAAGCCTAAAACAACTCCAAATTAGCCCATAGTCAAGTGATTCCTTTTTTTATGCTCTTTAAACTGAAACGCAAATGAATTTTATACCATAAAATTATCCGATTAGCCGATTTTTATTTTTAGGCATCAGAATAGAACTCAAAATCCGTTAAGAGGTGGCAAGTTTTAATGACCTTTCTTGACCTAAATGAAAATATTATACCAAGTGAATATTAACGGAATTCTATATGTCTGCGTGTGCGTGTTTGGGTATTTCAATAAAGCTCATTGCGCCAAGTGTCCAACACGAAAACCGGCCCATCTTCAATTCAATGTTGTCAGATTCGCTATCAGTCAAATAAAATTTGCCTAAAATGGTATTCGAAGCTTACTTTGAGTTTGCTCTTGTTAGGCGTAGAAAAAAAAGTTTACCTACCTTGTAGTGAGATCTTGTTCTCATTTCATCGGATTGTCCATGTGATCATTTGCAATTTTCCTTCCGTCGAAGAAAGCAAGAGAATTTCCATTGCTTCTGGGTTCTTGTACTCTACAAATTGGTTCCAGAAATATTTTTTTCTAAATATATTTCGAACCTTTTTATTACAAGCCAAAGGCAATGCTTGATAGACTTGGTCCATTCGTAGAACATATATGTGATAAATTCAAATAAATTTGAGTCCATTTTTCCTATCTTTTCGCCAATCGGATGGATCCTAGTCTCGTTCAAATGAATGTTATTTCCTCAAATGTTCTTTTACTTTATCAATTTTCTGCTTTACACGTTATCTGCATAAGCTGATACTAATGAGACAAAATTTGTGATAAAAATATTTTTCAATTATTTATTTAAATATTTCGTTAATCAATGAATAATTTCCAATTTGTTGCCCTAGTTAGTGTTTCTATATGCCACTGTCAATGTAATGAAATGACAAATGCATTCTAATTTTAGTTTAATTTAGTCATGCCTACTAAACTCCAATATCACCCAACTTATTCCAGATGATGTGCATTATTCCATCACTACATGTCTAATTGTGTGTTATTCGGTCGCATGCAGGCGATTTGCATCTAAAAAATGATCATAGCATTTAGCAACTGTTGCTGGCTCTGGGCAAAGATAAACTGGGCCAATCAGAATTCAGGAAAATCTCTTCCTTTAGAAGGAAGAATGGCATTTCGGAGACATCCAGTATTCTTGATGGATATGAGTGAAGCAGGTCTGGATTCATGCCATGCGATCTGATCCTTATTCGCCTTGACCGGTGGACAGGAGTTGTCACTTTTGGCGTATGTTGGCGCTACAAGCCGACGAAGCACTGGAGTCTGTATTGGACGACAATGCTGAACACTTTGTGCCATTTTGCCTCCGTTCCAGCCGCGACGACAGCCTCCCCTTTCTGTTGTCCGCCACGAGGAGTCTTTGTTCCTGTTCTCGTTTCACTTCTGGCCCTCATCTTTTCCGCTGCCCTGCTGGCGCCAACCGGCACCGCCAGCCCGGGCCCATTGGCACGCAACCGTGTCGGACGGAGTCAGCATCGAAACCGGTTGTTTGCGGGACCGCCAAATGCCACGATTGCGACGGCTGCTTCCGCCACAGACTTCGCTCGAAATGCACCCTCCGACGCTTCGTCCGACCCTCGAGGCGAGTACAGGCAAAGTGAACGTGATCTGTGCTCTGGAGGCCATAGCAACGGCCTGCCTTCGCGGATGGGCGATGAAAAGCGACTT